TCGGCTCATGCACTCGTCGAGTCCCTTTAGTCTAATTCTCATTCAGACGATTCTAAGCAAAAATAAAGTCCCAAACTCTAGATCTAGCCTCCGAAGGCTGAAATACCACGTAAAGCTGCAAGCTTTACGTCCGTGCATGGTACCTAGGGCTCGAAATGCCAAAACAATGCTTTATAGAAGGTTTAATGTTGGGAACTTTTCCAATACCTTGATAAAGCTTGGATCTTTATGCTCAAGGGACCTCATACAGTCCAGATCTGAAGTTTCAACTTCATTTCATGCTCAAATGACTCAAAGACTAAAAAGGAAGATGGAAATGACCACAAACTTCCTAAAGAAGAGATCTATCCAAGCAATGATCAATGTGATAGCTTTTTACCTCCAATTAGCTGCTAGTACTGAAGGAACACTGGATCCAAGGCCTTTTTCTCGTTCCCAGCCTTTTGCTCTTCTATCTCCTTTCAAGAATGCACCAAATCATACACTTTTAGCCCCCCCTCTCTCTCATAGATGATTATAGCTCGATTAGGGTTTCTCTCAGTGTGTCAAAATGATAAGGGAGGCGGAAATTAAGGCTTAAGGTCCTTTAAATAGGGTACAAACCCTGAAAATTAGGTTTTTCTCAATCAACACCTACTTGTCGAGTTGGGGTCCTCCAACTCGTCGAGTAGACTCTAAAAAATCATGCGGGTATCTACATCTTTACTCGGCGAGTTGGGGCCTCAAACTCGTCGAGTTGCCCTGATAAAATGAACATAATATAATTAAATATTATACCTGGGAGTCGGGATATTACAAGAATGTTGTAGAGGATGACGAGACGTATATGGATATATAAGAGTCGTTGAAAACAGAGGTCATATGCGAGAGTTACAGAATTTCAGAGTTGAACTTTTACCGTCACGCGCGATCATGCGTAGTGCGCCGCATGCATTCTGATAGTCGATACGTCTGGATACGAAGTAATGTCGCACACAGAAAGGATGAGACGTGGCAACATCCTACGGTTCATGCGCAGATGCGCGGCGCGCACTCCAAAACTTGCTATAAATAGCAAGCCTTGACAGATGTGTTCCTCACCCCTCATACTTATTTGTCTTTACATTGATTCTCATGCCACTGTCCCGAACGCCTCTCGAAGTGCTGATTTGTGGATTTCTACCCTATAGCATCGTTTTCATAACTCACATATGAGTTCACGACCCTATTTTCCAAACTTTTTCCGGGGGGGGGGGGGGGGTGGGGGGAATACATGTTTAAAATGCAACTATACATTGTTATTACTAACTATAGTTAGATAATTATACTAATAACATTAGGATGATATTATGCCTGGTAGATACTCTGCGCAAACTCTTTAGCTAATATTATGCCTTGTTATTATATTGATCCACACTAGTAGATAAGATTATACCTACTCGATACGCTGGCGAGTTTCCAGGAAACGCTGATACTCGTGTCGCTATTATAGCCACCCTTTGGATAAGCTCAGTACCGAGTGTTACTCTGCCCAATACGCGGCTACGCAAAACACGCTAATTATATGTATACGTACAAAATAAATAATATATATAATAAGTAAACACGTATGAATACAACGAGAATAACAACACGGCCGACCAGGGGAGACCCCCACAACAAGAGTTAGATGAGACACGATTCATCAACATGCTGATAAATTTTCAACTAGCTTTCAACCTGTAATCGCTAAATATTAATTGAGCGGGAAAGATATTTATAGATCTATACGGGTTGACACCCCAACTGTGGTTGCTAACTACAACCTAAAGGCAAGTCGAAGCAGACATACATTTCTAAACACATTTTCGATGTTCGATGAAGCGTCGTGGTTTTCGGGAACAACAATCATAGCTCGATTATAGGAACTCGTCGTAACTTTGTTAAACTAAAACTAGCTATCATAAACTAATACTAGGAACTAACCTAAATAAAGTAGTGATAGTACACACAAACTTAAGGAACCGAGTTTAGGATAACCAAGATAACTAAAACTAACTATCTTAGACTACTACCAGGAACCAACCTGAGAAAGTAGTGATAGTACACTCAAACTCGAGGAAGTGAGTTTAGGACAAATAAGATAAACTAAAACACCTACATAACATTTTCATAAGAAAAACATGTGGACTCACCAACATTTGTAAAAGCCTTGTATTCAAACATCAAGATGGAATGTAAATGCTATTTTGTTTATTGTTGTACTTGTGCTATATATTCAGTTTACCTGTGATCCATGAACTTAGTCGCACAGCCCGGCGTGTTCCGCTGCCTCGGCCGGGGGTGTGACAAGGAGGTAACCCCGGTGATGTAGCTTGAAGTCTTTGTGCTTTACTTTTGTACTTTGCTTTTGTGACCTACATGTACCTCGAACAATTGTGTAACATATTCTATTTAATGAATAAATAACAACGTTGTTTAATATATCAGTGTATTACTCAATGTATGACTTTGGCCTGAAATCCAACATACTAACGTTGCACAACCTGGTGTTTCCGCTGTCGGCCAGGGGTGTGACAACACGAGACATCCTTATCACCAAGTCTTCAAGCAGACTGATTCCTTATAGTCGTTTTGACTAAAATATTAATAAAATAATTAAAGGTAAAATTATCAATTTATGTTTGATAGACAACAAAACCAAAACAACACCAAATGATGAGGACAATCTGCGTTACAATTGAAGACGAGGACTTACTTAAAAAAACCATAAAATCAAAGAGACCAATAATATACTTTTGCCTTTACTTATATTTCATTGTGCCATTTAACAATATTTAATTAGCGGTAGAGTTTATTGTCCAAGTCATTCAATATAAAACGTTTATGTAACCGATAAAGGGCGGTCATCCACATATAATTTTTTGTTATACATAACAATTTATGTATGACTGATCCGTTGATTCTAGTGATCTTGTGTGAAAAATAAAAAATAGACCCTAAAATTAAGAATTAGCACGGATTGCAAGGGATTCATGACGAATTAAGAGGGATAGATACTTATTAGAGACATAGTTTCTATAGATTAGTGATAGGATTAACAATGTATTATCGACGAATAAGTGAAGGAATCATGACAGATTAAAATTGTGGGCCTCTTTATGACACGGAACATGTATGATCGCATACCCGATATGTGCTAAGATCGAAGGTGGATTTATGTTTTAAAATGTTGTGTGTGTATATATATATTATATATATATATATATATATATATATATATATATATATATGTATATATATATATATGGAAAAACCTCATAAAAACCCCATGTATTATACCCAAATGTTTAAATTATCCCCTATATAATTTATTTGTACGAATTAACCATTATGCTTTCTAACTTTGATTGTTTTCATGCTTTGTGACCGGTTAACCCAAAGCTACCGGTAACCTTGGAGTCACTGTTCATCCACCATCCAGATTGAAAGAAGAAGACTCAAGGAGAAGGAGACACTCTTCATCGTCCTCATCCACCTTTTGATGATTGTATGTAGTGACATAGAACTAGAGAAAATAGGGTCTTCACATGGTTTTGCTCAACTAATTCAGGGTCACCATCACGTTATGGTATGATTTTGTAGGTTTTCAAGATATCAAGCTTCATGGAAGCAACTAACCATGCTTGCCATCCATTTTCGTATAATGATAAAAAAAATGAGTTATCTTTAGATTTGTAGTAAAAAAGAGGTAACTTGCAATGTTAGAGACATTTGAATCTAGCAATTCAAGCAGATCTCCAAGTATTTTTATTCTTGAATTTGGATCCTCACAATTAGACATAAATTTAAAAATGAGAACCAATATTTGAGGCAGGAAGAACTGCGCATTGGTTCCTTTGTTTCTTTGCTTCTCAGGCTGATTATGTCTCTGTATAACCTGCAAAATCATAAGAGTGTTTCAGTTAACCACAACCTTATAAAAATTTGCCATTAAACACCACCATATCCCATCTTAAAAACAACCTAGCATCACCTTGTTTATCAAACCAGAAGAAGAAAAGAAAATACGACCCGTCTTTTGTACTAATTTCTACACGGCCCGTGTGGCTTGATTTGGAACCAACAAACAGCTGCTGCTCGCTTCCATCCTGGCACCACCTCCGAACTAGAACCTGCTACCTTCGTCGGTTCCAGCCCAGCCGAACTCCCTCTCGGACAGCCTCACTTCTGAGACCTGCAACCAAGAAAAGAAATGAACAAAAAAATTGTTGCCGTCAGTTCTGTTCCATCCGAACCGGAGACCTGCTGTCCAACCATCCCTCGTTGCAGCCCTTTTCTTCCGAGCGAAAAACCGAAGTCGCGATTCATTGTCATCTTTGTCTGAACCTACAACTCACCAGAAAAGGAAAAAGGAAAAGAAAATTGAATCACCAAGAAGCCGATAGCCCTTTTCATTTTTCGTTCCAACCTCTATCTCCATCAAAATCGCTGCTTTTGCCTTCGTTTTTACCTCCATACCGAGACCCACGAACCACAACAGTTCCAGCCTTTACCTTCTAAATCCACACCTCGTGAAAGCCATTAAAACCGAGAACCACTCACCTCTTCGTTTGTTCCAGCTTCTTCGAACACATCTTAGCCAACCTTCACTTTGCCGAGAGTTATCTCAACCAGAGACCCTCCTGCTGCCATGGAAAAACAAAAAGTAAAGAAGAAGAAAGTCTTCCCAGGAATTGCAAACCTTCAACCATCACTTCGAAACCAACAACCGGTCAACCGGATAAAATATGTATTTTAAACAGTTTTAGAAAGCATAATGGTTAATTCGTAAAAAAAATTATATAATGGTTTTTTTAAGCATCGAGATATAATGCATAGGGTTTTTATGAGGTTTTTCTATATATATATATATATATATATATATATATATATATATATATATATATATATATATATATTATAGAATCCTTAAAACATAAAAAGGTTATTCACAAGGATAAAAAATAAAAGTCAAAGCTAGGAACATGCGGCTGCATAGTATCCTTATATCTTAAGTTGACTAAAGACTTCCACTTATAGAAAAATCTCTGCATACTTTCATCAGTTCATGTTCACAAAAATGGCTGCCACCATCGCTTCAGTCGTTTCAGCCTACGATCGGCCAACGGAACTCAAAGCTTTCGACGAAACAAAATCCGGTGTCCAAGGCCTCGTCGATGCCGGAATCCGCCATGTCCCCCGTATCTTCATCAACCCACCGGAAACCTCCCCCAGAACCTCCACAACTCTCGAGATTCCAGTCGTCGACCTTGGATCAACCGATAAAGCATCGACTGTGGAAAAGATCCGTGCGGCTTCTGAGAAATTAGGTTTCTTCCAAGTCGTGAATCACGGTATCCCTGTGAGTGTTATGAACGATGTGCTTCAAGGAGTTCGTAGATTTCACGAACAAGATGTGGAGGTGAAGAAACAGTTTTACACGAGGGATAATACGAGAACAGTTGTGTATAATAGTAATTTCGATCTTTACAGTTCCCCCTCCGCGAACTGGAGAGACACCTTCTTTTCGTTTATGGCGCCGTCACCTCCACCGCCTGAGGAACTACCGGAAGTTTGCAGAGACATACAAATCGAGTACTCAAATCAAGTGATGAAACTTGGCGGGTTGCTTTTCCGATTGATCTCAGAGGCTTTGGGTCTGAACGAAGATCACCTCGGAGATTTGGATTGTGACAAGGGGCTTGTATTCATCGGCCATTGTTATCCTGCTTGTCCACAACCAGATCTAACTATCGGTGCAACCAGACACACAGATGATGGGTTTCTAACTGTGGTTCTACAAGATGAAATCGGAGGACTCCAAATGCTCCATCAAAATCAATGGGTTGATGTTCCTCCAACACCTGGTGCGCTTGTGATCAACATCGGAGATCTATTACAGGTGGGTTTAATTGTTTGACATTGAAAACATTTATTTTTGACTCTGAAAAGTTTAATTTTGTTGGGTTTTTTAGTTGATATCGAATGATAAGTTGAGGAGTGTGGAGCATAGGGTGATGTCAAATGAGAAAGGGCCGAGGGTGTCTGTGGCGTGTTTCTTCAGCACCTCCTTAGCGCCGTCGACGAAGGTGTATGGTCCGATCAAGGAGCTGATTTCCGATGACAACCCACCGAGGTACAGGGAAACCACCGTTTATGATTTTGTTCAATATTCCTTCTCAAAAGGCCTTGATGGTGTTCCTCATTTGCTTCATTTGAAGCTTTAAAGTATATTACAAATTACATGTACCACATACTCATTGTTATACGTATACAGAAAAAAAACATACATATGAATTATAAAATGTTTTTTTTTAATGTAATCTAAGAAATAACAATATATATTTTTATTCTATAGAAAGTAGAAATAAATGTCATGTTTTACTTTCTCGTCTTTTGTTCTGTGTAGTGTACATGCATGGGAAAAACACGAGTTCAAAAGTTGGAGTTATTTTTCAATTTAGTAAATTCATTAAAATTAAGGGCTGAAACCAAATCATTTATTAAACAGAAACTTGTCGATTGTCGATTGGTTTTCCTTGTATAATAGTAGTACATAACAAAATCAATTAACATTTAATATGTAACATAAACATATTATTAGTATATCCCATATCGATGCGATCCAGTTTCATAAGTAGGGTTGTGCATAGACTGATTTGGGTCGTTTGTGGACCAAAACCCAACCTAACCCATAAATGGTCGGTTTCTAGTTTTCAGAACCCAATAAGATCAGTTTTTGGTCGGTTCGGTTTTTCGGGTTCCGAGGTCAGTTTGGGTTGTTTTTCGGTTTCTTGGGTTCAACTCATACACTCACGGGTTTTGCGCTTAAACCCATGGGTTTTGGATTTAAACCCATTTTTCAGAAATAAAACAACAAGTCAAATACTTCAAAAAACACCAAATTGAAATTAAATACTTCAAAAAACATGAGTCTTACAACCAAATACTCTATTACAAGTTACAAACAAATCCCAAAATAATCTATTACAACCAAAACACAATGACTCTTTTGGAGAGATAATCTTGGGCTACACATATATTTACATGGTATTAGAGCCCGCGTCTCGCACCGATGTGACATACACTAACACATTTGATCAACAAACATATAACATTTGACAAAAACAACTCATTATTAAATGGTATACAAGCTAAAATTAACAAATTACCATCAAAAGATAGACTAACACATATTAACATATAACATTTGACAAAAACAACTCATTATTAAATGGGATACAAGCTAAAATTAAAAAATTACCATCAAAATTGATCTGATTTTTTCCACGATCATTTCGATATGTGGATATCATAATGCGTTGTTGTTTGGTCAAAATAAGTATCAAAATCAATTTTTATTTAATAACATTGTTGCTCATTCCTTTGATCGGTTTATATTTAGAAATGAGACTTCTAAGAATTGTAATGCATGGTTGCGACATCAAATAACGCCTTAATTTGTATTTTGTTCTTTTTTTTGCTAGTGTCTAGCTAGCTTTCGTTTTCATATATATAGATATATATATATATATATATATATATATATATATATATAATTATATATATATATATCTATATATATATATATATATATATATATATATACTGTTAAAAAAACAAATTACCATTATTATTTTTTTCCAATTATATTAGAATTATTCACCCAAATGACCATATTTTGAGGTATCATATTTCCACGAAGCCACTTTTTCCGTACTTTAATCAAAATAACCACATGTTCTTCTAAAAGTCTCTTGCGAATCAGCGAGGATCCTTAAATGACATAACGTATATCGATAATTTTCACATAAACAAATTAAAATAGTTTCTCCAATCCTCACTTAATAGCTTTCGATAGTTATTCGTGGATCTTCTTTCCTCTTATGAATATTAACAATTTGCATGTACTCTGATGTATCATTCAATCATGCATAGATGTAGTTTTTGATGAACATGAAAAAAAAGGCAAATATGGAGCTTAACCAATCTTTGATATCCTAATTCTTGTAAAGAATAAAATAGCAATGAGGTTGTAGATTTCATGAGTTCACTTTGGTGGAATCATATTCAACAAAAAAACAATATCTTTGTGAGTAGTTGATCTATTTTGTTTGTTGGTGTAATCGTGTATGTGTCATGTAACTATAATCTTCAAATTTATATCACATTTATTAAATACACCGGTACAATTAAGACTTTTGGTGAAAAAAAAATTGAGGCCATAGACATTTCCTCACGGTTTTTGTTTTGATTCAGAAGATAATCAAAGGTCGCGTCATTTTTTATAGGTGTCGTTTAATTGTGGTGACTACAACCCATTAAAAGTTGCTATAAATAAAATTGTCACAATATGGTAGAAATTTTTATAGTAGTATCAATCTCATTATTTATGACTGTCACCATAAGTAGTATCAATCTCATTATTTATAACCGTCACCATAATACTTAGTAACAGATTAATTTTTTTAATTATGACTATTATATACCTTTTGTCATGAATTACAAATTAATCGCTACCACAAAATTCTTGTAGCCACATGTTTTATCTTTTATCCAGACTGTTATTATGTTTAAAAATATCTCACACATTAAATGGTCATAGTAAAATAATTATTATATTATATATTTACTTTTGGAGGGTGGTGAATAACCGCTCTTCAGTTGACAACCATTGAATATGCTAAACATAAAATCATCACCGTTTAAAGTATCTAGTTATGGTTTTTTGTATGGTTTCTTAAAACACCCATGTTCCTCCGTCAAGCATTCTAGGCGGTTCTTCATTAGGATGCGTCTTCTTCGGTCACCTCTCCTTGTTCTTTAACCTCCCCATCTGGTATATATTGAAATCGGTTCTTTCCATTGAAATTCTTTGTTTCTCCTTGCCATCTTCTCCATCAACACCACACTTAGAAGCAACAAATGGTATCCTTATCACCGCATCACCATCAAGCCATCATTGTATTTGTATAGAAAACTTAATTATGATTATTTCAATATCTTTTCACATCAAATCCATGGAGAATTTGTGTGACATCCCCATTGAAATTCTTTGTTTGAAAATCCGAGTAACCTTTTAAATAAAAGAGTTGCGGAATTTGTCCCAATACAAAAATATGATAAAGATTTATCAAAAGCATTTCCATAGAAATGTATTTCATTAAAAGACTCGGGATGTCATGTTTGATACAGATCATAAGCATAAACAGTACAACATAAGCCTTACTACATTATTTCGTATTTACAGGCCTATAATCCCTTATCTCTCATCCAAACATCTATGCTCATGCGCCACTTCTTGTAATACAAGAAACTGAGTGGTCAGGCTTGGGAGCCTGGTGAGCACACATAGAGTTTTCAACCCACAATAAATAAGTTTATTAACTTTATCAAACCAAACAAACCCGATTACCCGTTCCCGTTATCCTCACTTTACGTCCCTAAAACATCTAACTCAAGGGACCTAGTCTAAGGACTTTCATCGGGGTGACAACACATGCTTCGGGGATTCCTCATCAATTCATGTCAAATAAGGCAACCATGTGGCGGATGGAGTACTGCTGGTAAACACACAGTTCAAATAAACACCTACAGGTTGCGAGCCTGCTAGCGTTCCATTGGACTGTCTAGAATAGTCCGTGGTCGTCATCTATACTCCGCTAGATGACTGGATCATCAATAACATCTATAACGAGGCCTCTCATTATTTAATTTGGTCACACAGCAACTGTTACATCTACCCATGTTTTACCCAACACATTTTGTATATAAAATACATATACAGTTTAAATCATTTAAAACATGTATAAAAATCATTCATCCAGCATAGACAGCAAATATTCAGACAATATGCACACATAACACGTAATTTATATTAAATACTTCATATCTATGTGTAAGATGAAAGTAACTACGCACTCACCTGGTTAGGTGGTGACTCGGTACTCGGACAACACTTCGTTAGCTCAAAACAATTTTCCCTTGACAAAACCTAGTATCAACACCACTAAGGCTTAGTCTAACGTTAACCGCAACTAACTAATAGTCTAGCTATCATTATTATTATATAAGCGTTAAACAACACTCAATATAACTCATAATAATAGCCCAAATAATTATTTTAAGGTCCTAATAACGTTACTATAATTAATTAAAAGCTATATTAAAAATAGCGTAGGCGTAGCTCACTTACAGCGCGTTTTCTTAAAAAAACCGGGCTTTGCTCGGAGCAACGTTTCCGAACTGAAAGACCCTTTTTCTAGGGACTTCGGGAGCCTCGGGGCTTCCTTCGGGTGCTAGGGGTTCACCTAGGCTTTAGGGGGGAGGGGGTTAGAAACCCTAGAGAGAGAAATTATTTAGAGAGAGAAAGAGATTTGGTGTGAAAAATCCGAGAGATTTCGCACCTATTTATAGGGCTCAGCAGCTTCGGACTACGCTGCACGTTCAGCAGCACTACGCTGGGCGTAGTTCGGATACGGTTGCCAGCTTCGCACCAGCTGTCTCGCACGTCGGACGGATAAGAACCGAAGTACGCTGGGCGTACTTGGCCTCGGACGCGGGGCGTAGCGAAGGGTGACGCGTCGCAATCCGAATGACTTCTGAGACCATCATCGGACGGCTGTGGCGCTGCCACGTCATCACTATTCACATCAGAACTCGCAAAATCGAGTGCCAACTTCAAAAATTCGTATCTTCCTCATACGAGCTCCGTTTTTGACGTTCTTTATATCTACGCGTAAGCGGGAATGTACTCTACAACTTTCGTTTAGACTCTGTTGGCTAATTTTGACTTTATTTTAAAATTTATATTTTTAACAGGCCGGGACAAGATTGGTCCGTTAAAAATTCATAACTTCTTCATCCGACGTCCGTTTTTGTCTTTCTTTTTATCATTACGCTACTATTAACGAGATCTTCGATTCTCGTTTAGGTTGTCTCGGCTAAAAACCGCTCGATCTAATATTCGAACTTCGGGCTGTATACCGCTAAGCCGAAACTTCGAAAAATCATAACTTCCTCATACGAAGTCAGATTTGGGCGTTCTTTTTTATGGACGCTCTCGGTTTAACGTATTCTACGAGTTTCGTTTAGATCGCTAAGGCTAAAATTCGCTCTATCGTAAATTCACTATTTACGCTTCCCGGTATCGTGCTGGTTCGGTCGCGAAACTTCGACGGGTCATAACTTCTTCGTTATAACTCGGATTTCGGCGTTCTTTATATCCCCGAAATCCTTGTTTCGACCACTACAACTTTATGTAAAGATATCGGGTTTATCTCACACTTTAATTTTGACGCTTATTTTTATCCTTTATTTATCATACATTTATAAATAAGTAATAAGCACATAAATGCACATAATTCACATAG